AGCTGCACAGGCGGTTGGAAGCAACAGATCTGGATCAGTTTCTCGTTTCGTTTTGCCTGCTGTTTGCAGCCCGTGGTTAACAGCCCTCACGTGCTGGTTTGGCTGGGGCGTCAGCGCTGCCACCACAATTATGCAGGCTCTGCGCTAGGTAGTGAAATAATAACCAGCTTGATATAGACACAGCTTATTGTTCAAGTGGTAATCAACCTTACAACAGCCCTCGGGAGAGAGGGACGCAGGTTTTTAACCTTCATTTAACAGGACATCAGGGGAGATTAACAGAGGATAAGGACTGGTGCTCCCGAGGCGCTGCTGCAGCCCACGCCGGGGCCTGGGCCGTTCTAGGAGCCGTGATGTTTCCTCAGCCACAAAGGTATTGACTTACCTGGGGCATCAGGCACCCAGGTCTTCTGTACACTGTGGGAACGGGGAAAGGAAGGCAGGGCAAGGCCCCTGTGCTGTTAGAAACAGTTACTTTAAGCACTGTTTTCTTCATGGTTGCACAAGAGGAGTCCCAGCGTGTTGCAGCTAAGGGTCAAATTACTCCCATCTTTTAATGTCTACAGTACTGATTGGTTGCCATTTTTAAGGCGTGCCGTTTCCAGTAAAGGATAGGAAAGAGTTGCTAAGATTGAAAAAAAAAAAAATATAGTAACATATATTAATTATTGTACCAGTACTAACCTCTGTGTGGGGAAAAAATAGGTGTTCAGATGTGTGAAGGACCAGGTATTTCCTTACACGAACATGAAATGTCCTTTGAGTCAACAGGACAAAACTGACTTAAAATGGCGTGTCCATGTGGCGCTGAACCCTCTGTGGGGGCGGGCGGGGGGAGACGCTATGGGGGAGGAGCCGCAGCCGGAAGCAGGGGCGGGACTAGGTCCCGTCTGATTGGCTGAAAAGCCCGGAAATACAAAACCGGCCAATCGGGAGCGCAGAAAACCCCATAAACGAGGCAGCGTGGCACGCCCCTCCTTTCCCACTAGCTTTGACTAATCCTGAATGATCTTGGCATAGCTTAAGTCTGATGTGTCACAGCTCCTCATGCACTGGAAGTCCCTCAGGAGTCAAAAGGAGTAAGTGTAGGCAACCTGACTGGAGGAGCCTCACTCTTTCATGATTTCTTACACTGCCCCATTTAACTTTCTTCCGTCTCTCTTGTCAAGAAGCTTGAATGTAAACAGAGTGAGAATTGAAGCTGTCTTAGAGCAGACCTCTCTAGTTGTTTTCAAACAACTTGGACTTGTGTATAGACCCAGCAACCCACAGCACACAGGGCAGAGGTTGTTCTCTGCTGAAGCACACCCAGCCCTTCTTGAACTAATTGTATGCATTCATGTACTTGTGATATCTATACAGTGATGAGTTGACCCTCGAAGGCATCAAGCAGTTTTTCGTGGCTGTGGAGAGGGAAGAGTGGAAGTTTGACACCTTGTGCGATCTCTACGACACACTCACAATCACCCAGGCTGTCATCTTCTGTAACACCAAGAGGAAGGTGGACTGGCTCACAGAGAAGATGAGAGAAGCCAACTTCACCGTTTCATCCATGCATGGGGACATGCCACAGAAGGAGAGAGAGTCCATTATGAAAGAGTTCAGATCTGGTGCAAGCAGAGTCCTTATTTCGACAGATGTTTGTGCTAGAGGCCTGGATGTGCCTCAGGTGTCCCTGATCATTAACTACGACTTGCCCAACAACAGAGAACTCTACATACACAGAATTGGCCGGTCAGGCAGATACGGCCGAAAAGGTGTAGCGATCAACTTTGTGAAGAACGATGACATCCGCATCCTGCGGGACATTGAGCAGTACTACTCCACCCAGGTCGATGAGATGCCCATGAATGTTGCTGATCTCATCTGAAGTTCTGTGTTTACCAGGAGTTGTACTATTCGGTAGCCTCCATCATTCTGTTTTGGACCCACATCCTTTTATTGTATGGCGGATCATAAGTTCTTAAGTTGAGCTGCACTTGGGACCTTGTGTAAATAATGTGTTTACTCCTGCCCATCTTCGCCGCAGCGTGGTGAGACAAATTCCGGATACCCCAGCTTATAGGGGAAAGTATAATCCTGTTTTACCTGCACACAAATCGCGACCCTATACGGGAACAGCGTTGGGCATATTTCCCCCTCCTTCCCTCGCTTAAATAAGTAAATAAGGTGTGTAACTAAGGTGTACCCATATATATTTCATGTGTTTTAATCACTCGTTTTGAACCTCCTGCCCCAAATTGCTTTGTTTTCCCCACAATAAACCGTGCATTTCGTAAATTCTAATTGGGGATTGGCTGCAGTTATTGGAAATATTAGTAAGCACTGAGCAAGTTATTCACTTGAAAAAGTCAGGGCCAAAGCCCGTCTCCTCTGTGTGAGGCGATACCCACGTGTGGATCTCTCAGCAAATCCTGATAAACGTAATGCACTCCAAAAAGGAGATATAATAGGTCGCGGATTGCGACAAGATGCAATGCTTTTGGAAGCCACCAGCTCTCTGTTAATGACTGCAGGACATAGTCTTCTGGCTAAATGTAGACCAGATGACACGGTGCCCAAAACTAAACCATCGATTCGAAAGTATAATGTTAACATAACATTTACTAGTCCAAGCTCCTCATCTACAACCTCATGATATGTAATGGTAGAGTTAACTTAGTCCTGTACTAGTAGGCAGCTGGGAGGATGCGTTCTGTGTACAAAGAGGAACAAAGGTGGGAGGAGAACATGGCACTGGCACTATCTGCAGTGCGCACAGAGCCTTTGTGCTTAGGCTTTTGTGTCCAAGGCCAGTTGTCTTTCGCCTTGCCAGCTTCATAACTTTCTCCTTCTGGGTCTTTGGGCATTTCTTATACAATGAATTGCCTAGAAGGAAGCACTTAAAATTTAATTCAGGTAGGGAAGGCAGCACATATGAATGATATAGATGCTACTAGCCCTTGTAGATTATATTATTTATACATACACTCGAACAGCAGTGAATGAATGTTCTTTTAGTATGTAATATGCTACTGTGCTGTTACTTCTATGCCTTGTCTTTTTAATGAAAGGGCTTATACCTTCAAAGTTAATTAACTCATTTCTCAAAATCATTTACACATCTGCTCTGTTTCCAGGAAAACTTCAGGTTCACATTACTGACTTCAGAGTTGTAGTAGGAAAAAAAAAGGAAAACACTGCATCAGACATGCTACTTTGTTTGCAATGGCTTTTAGATGTGGAATTGCTAATAATGATGAATTTCAGGGGCTGGAAGCTGGCCTGTGACTTTAGACCAGTAGCTACTTTGGAAGGACAGTCATATAAATATTAGCCAAGAGCCTGTGCACACTGTCAGAGCACTGGCGCAAGACTAAAACCAGCAGCCCTAACCTTGGGGTATCACTGGTGCCCACCTGGGCACCATGGCCCCTCTGTGTCTGGCAGGCAGCAAGTTAGAGCTGAGAGGGTCTCCAATTCCACCCCCTGCCTGCCTCCACAGCCTCTGTGGCTACCTGGCACCACAGTATTATGTAGAGCTTTTCCAGCTGGCCATGGGGCCTGTTTTGGTTACTGCTGGCCAAGATGCGAGACTGCCAAGGGGAGTGCTAGGTGGTGTGCAGGTCTCAGCCAAGCCCTGCTGCATCCCAGTCCTCTGCAGAGCTGGCAAGGAGAGGAGGCAGGAGTGAGGGCAGCCCCAGGAATGGGAGAGCTTGAGCAGAGCAAGGCAAGCAGGGCTGACACTGTCCCGGCCCGTGCCACACACAGGGAGTAGTCCTGCCTTCTGCTGGTAGGCAGACATATGATGTTAATGAAGCTATTTTTTCAATGGTCATTAAGATGTGTGGGCATGGCTTGGGAAACATTAAAACCAAGGTGAACAAAGAGTGTAGTACTCCATCTGCTTTTAACACCAGAGTACAGCAACACAGCTGCTTGGGCAGCATGCATAGCTGAGTACTGCTAGTATTTACACTAGAAGACATGCCTACAAGCTGATCATAGGCATGAGGTTTCATTATTTTAAGTGATTTATTCTTTTCTGGTGTGAAGAACACCACTTCTCTGCACTGAATGGTGCTTGGGAAGGCTGCTTTTCCACTTAAAGGATGCCAAAGCAGAAGCTAGCCAATGAAAGGAAGGTAAATTTAATTACAAAAAATATAACATTCTTCAAAAACAACAGCTTACTTTCCAACAAGGAAAAATAAAAGCCCTTTGGCAATGCTGAGGAAATATCTGGGGCTGAGGTGAAAGGGACACAGCTTGACAAGTATGCTGAAAGCTGAACATGGATTACCCGCGAGTGCAAAAATGAATAAATGTGTTTTATTCCATTATATTAATGAAATGGTTAATTCGGTTGCTATAGCAACAAAGAACAGCCATGCTAAAAAGCTAAAGGACTCCACATAATGCCAGATACAAGGTCTCTCTAATTCTAAAGCTGATTTTCTTAGCTACAATAGAATTGATGTGTGTTTTCAATATCGTCTTAAGCTTTTGCATCAAATCCTCAAGCTAATCCAATAAATAGACTAGTACCATAAAACAGCATGGATGTTTGTATCTCATAAAACTTATGAAAGGGGTTTACCTAGGCACAATAATGAGAAAGGATCCATGGAGTGCAGTGTGGGGGCTCTTTAAAGAGACTGCTCTGCATGTGATGGTGACCCAGCAAATGTGTTAGAATGGGAAGTTCCTATAGTTAGGGTGCAGGTGACTGCATGGAAAAAAAAATAATAAAAAAAAATCACTGCAGCACTGCCTCAGACACCAAGACATAGCTGTGCTTACCAGCCTGCTAACTATTTCACCTTAAGGAAGATAGATTTTATATTATTTTCACTTCTGTTTTTAATATTTTTGTTTAAAAATAATTATTCTTGGAGCCTCCAATAAGGAATTACAGAATGCATCAATGTGCACCTGCACAAACAAAGCAGGTGAATGTTGTCTGCAGGCCATCTGATTTGCATTATACGAGGATGTGAAGGACCAGGTATTTCCTTACACGAACATGAAATGTCCTTTGAGTCAACAGGACAAAACTGACTTAAAATGGTGTCTCCACATGGCGTTGAACCCTCTGTGGGGGCGGGCGGGGGCA